GCTGCCTGTAGGTGCTTCGGTATGAAGTTATCACGTGCAAAGGTAAAATTACATAACCCCAAAGACTAAAAAGAGTGTTTAATGAATACTCAGGTATGCCAAAGTTACCCAAAACATTTTCCATCTCAAGTATCCTAATTACACAACACTTCTGGGACTACAGTGGGACCCACAGGACCAAAGTTAATAACTTAGTGTCAAAAACCCATGAGAGCTTTCTACAACTGTTAAAGAAACTAACAGATTCAAATAAAATGCCACTTTGCATTTCTATATTTACAAGAAAAAAAGCAAAAGAAATTTACTAGCATCTTACTGAAACTCCACCTCAGAGAAGTACAATATGGACAAGTCCTATTAAGGGGTTTATTCAGGTCCACAGTTCCAACATTCAGGCAGTCAAATATGTCTTAGAATTCAGAATGACTGGAGATTTTTGACAGGTGACACAGCGTGTATACACTATATATTTAACAATACCTCTAGAGAAGGCTGGGATAGCACACAATAATCAAACATTTGCCATTTCCACAATGAAACCTTTAAATATATGAAATAAAGAGAATAGCTAGGAACACATTTTGTGAAAAAAATCAGTTTGTGCCAAATATACAGAAAAAGTTTTGGTTTCCAGAGTGTTGTGGATATTAGAGCTATTGAAAAGGAATTATGGTCCTACAGAATAGTACTCATTATTCTTTATTATGTATCAATTTTATTGTGGTATTTTGCTGAATCAAGAATAATTCCAGAAGTCTCCTAATGGTTCACACATGTCCTCTAAACCCTACTCAGTGCTAAATTTCTGTACCACATTCTCTTATCAGAGCTGTTCTCAGAAATCTAACCCTTGCAATTTATAGAACTGCCAAATCCAATTTTGCCACCACACAAAAAATGTTCATTGAATTGAACATATTGAACTCATCCTAAAATGGCTTGCTCTCATTTTGTCACAGAAAAAAACACTGTAACTGCTGAGGGTGTTCCTGACCCAGGAAGCAACATCAAATCAATCACAAAAAAGACCCCAATTTTGTCTTAAATATCAAGATACAATAACCCTATAAAACCCTATTATCATAGTATATTTATGTGTATATATTTGCAGATTATATGCAATATAAACTATATGCAATAAACATGATATACTATAACTAAGGTAAAATATTTCCACTGAGGGGGGAAAAACAGAGACCGTTCCTCATCAACAGTGGCATAAAAAAGAATAAAGGAGTAAAAGTACACTTATACTAAATAATACTTAAGGTCCTTTCTATCCTGATGGCCCATAAAAAATACAACCCATTGATATTGTAAATATGATCAATATAACCTAAAATGAGTAACTTTTTATTAGTAACACTTCTTGCCCTCTTATAATTTATAATAACTTTAAAGACATCACTTAGGTCTCCTAGGATTTCCAGAAATAACTGAATTGATGCCTTAATTTATTTTTGATAAATTTCCCTGTAACAAACTTTCCAAGCTTTAGAATTTCTCTAACCTTTGGGGCTATACTTACAAAATACTGCTAATGAGCAATTAATACAGTGGCCTCACTAAGTATGCTAAGTACAATTCGCCCTCATTATCTATGGGTTCTGCATCCATGGATTCATTCAACCAACCGCAGATTGAAATACTAAGGAAAAAAAGCATCTGTAGCAAACATGTACAGACTTTATTTTTAACCATTATTCGTTAAAGAATACTTCATAACAACTATTTATATAGCATTTACATTGTATTAGGTGTTACAAGTAATCTAGAACTGATCCAAAGTATAGGGGAAGATGGCAAATGTTATAGGCAAATATTGGGCCATTTCATATGACGCACTTGAGTTGAGCACATCCTTGGATTTTGGTAGCTGTGAGGGGTCCTGGAACCAACACTGGGGAGCAACTAACTGTATGAAGCTATGAAGAGAAGCCATTACTTTAACTTGATCCTCTTGCTAATATTTTTCTTTGCATTTTTTCTGTGTTATCAAACCTCCACACCAAATTTTAAAAAGACAGTTGGAAAATAAAAGGAAGTCATTTTTTTAAAGGGCTAAGAGGAGAGTGTAAAAGGAAGGAGAAATTAGTTATTTTCAACCCTGCAGCACACTGGAATCATCTGTAGAAATCCTAAAATATATCAATGCCCTGGCCCTTTCCAAGTCCTACTGATTATTTATCGAATATAAATTAGCATGGGTAGGATCCCAACATCCATCTTTTCTTAAGCTCCCAAGAAAATTGTAATATGAAGTTAGGTGGAGAACCACTAGTAAAACTGTTTTCTCTACAAACCCTTCTCTCCTCTCATCTATTTAGTTAAGTGTCAGCATTCCCAGCCCATAGCAAGGACTGCAGGAATTATCTTTAAAATTTTCCATTTTATTCTTTCATTTACTCTGTCACCGCAGAAAAATTACTAATTTTCAACTGGAAATTTTTAAACATGTATAGTAAAATTAATTTTAGCTTATTGGATATTCTCATTTCCAAATGCTCAGGATTTTTCTTTCAGTCTTCAACAAACTACCTTAATTGGCAGGGTATTGAGGTAAACAGCAAAGCATACAATAATAAGCAAACACACATTACAGTTATCAACTTTCAATAGCTATCAGAAAATACTCAAAACAATTTTCTGCATGGTGGTGCGTGCCTGTAATCCCAGCTACTCAGGAGGCTGAGGCAGGAGAATTGCCTGAACCCAGGAGGCGGAGGTTGCGGTGAGCCGAGATCGTGCCAT